CACTAACTCCAAAGAAGACAAATTATGTTCCGCTGCCAGGGTATCAAGCATACTTTCTACTGTATTAAACCAAAATTAGGGCAAACTAATTTCCAAGAACCGGCTTCTTTTGCCCTATTACCCAAGCTGAAAAATGTTCCTACGCTGTTTTAACTCTTATTATGTCAACCAGACAACTCTCACATGTCACTGGCATCTAGGAACGAGGAACAATGACATCCTGTACAGATGCCTATCCAGACTCTTCAGCTATCTAGTTTGAGCAAACACAAGGAACTACTTGATTGCCCAGCAGAAATACACCTATATGAAGCAGTTTACTCCTATTAGGCCTGCTAACTCCTTTCACTTCTCTTCTTTTCATCAAATAGAGACCTAAGTTACCAGTGCTCCAACTACAATGCCTTCCATTTCTTGAAAAGGTTTAGGCAATTACGTTACTCTCTCATGGTTCTCTCATGCCTCTGTATTTGCCATTTCCAGGGGGCACCTCTACGAAGAGTACTTCTAGCTCCACATTTGGTCAGCTTTGGAGAACCAATCCAAATTATTTATTTTTTTTTCTGCTCCTTTCTGGCCAAACCAAGTCTCACGGTTTATTCTGGTGCCGAGTGTGTTCTGGCCTTATTCAGATTCCTGCTTTTACAACCCTCTGCCTCCTCTTCATAAATACATTAATCCACTGCTGAACATTTGAGTCACAAAAGGAAATTGTGTCATGAACTAAAGCCAGACTAAATCTCTGAGATTACACCAAGACCACATGTGTCAAGGCAAAGCCCTCAAAAACCAACAGGTAACTCAGCTGAAAAGGTAAGAGTCTTGTATCAAACATTTTTTGAATGAGCTGATGTCTGGGAAGATGTGTAGTGGTTCTTTAGACACGGGAAGCTAGCCAACGATGGACCATGGAGAAGATCCAAGGCAGAGGGAAATTGTGTCATGAACTAAAGCCAGACTAAATCTCTGAGATTACACCAAGACCACATGTGTCAAGGCAAAGCCCTCAAAAACCAACAGGTAACTCAGCTGAAAAGGTAAGAGTCTTGTATCAAACATTTTTTGAATGAGCTGATGTCTGGGAAGATGTGTAGTGGTTCTTTAGACACGGGAAGCTAGCCAACGATGGACCATGGAGAAGATCCAAGGCAGAGGGGTACAGGAGATAAAAAGAAGAAAAAAAATAAAAAAAAAGAGACAGCCTCAGGGATATTAGGCAACAGAAAAATTAAATCCCATGTCATGTGAGGAAAAAGCCACCCTGCCACTTCTCCTCTCTCTATATGATTCCTCAATAGGTGTATGTGAGAAAGGTATGTCAAAAAGAAAACAAAAGATACCAGCAGCATGTAAAACAGCTCTTCCTCCTATAAGGCACTATTTATATAAGGATCGTGTACAACCCGTACATGCCTTATTTTTGTGCGTATAATGATTTTCCTGAACAGAAGCAGATTGTCAGGACCTGTCTTGCTGGAGGCAGATCCCTCTCAATATCCACCTACCTATCTATAGGTACCTCTGTATGGCAGCTGGCAGACTCATTTTTGAAGCCAACCCACAGCTCTGCTGTCCTGGCTAGGGCGCTGTGGCACCATTCTTGTAACTGCCATTATACAATCAATTTCACTGCTTTTCTAATTCCAAATGCTGCTTTTCTTTCCTTCTGTGCAGGGTAAGATGGGCTCTTACACAACAGGGAACCCAACTGCTGCTACTAATCCAGTTTCAAATTACCTTATATTCATTGCCCTAAATACCTCCCATCAACCTAAGATTCTCCAACCCCAATGCACACAACCACCGAGTATCCGTATTTTTCTTTTAATTTTTAAAGGAACTATGGAAATTTTTTTTGAAATAAAACCCAAGGTTTGTGTACCGCTACATGTTTAATGGAGTCCTCTGATATATTATTCACTTGACCTACTCTGGCCATCTATTTAATCAGAGTTCTGCTTGAAAACACAAAGGCACCATGATTTGGGGTGCTACTGTCTACACAAACATCAGGACAAATGCACAGCTGATCAGTGTTTTACAAGTGCACACGCACAGTCAATAATTTGGTTGAAGGATACTATGTCTAGTTAACACAGTACAAGTTAGCTAAAAGGAAACTTTCACCCCCCGCACACATAACAAAGAGCCGTGATTTCTATTAGTGCATTTCATACCATACATGCTGATTACCAGCCTGTGCTTCATTGTTAGCAGAGATTACAGCTGGGATAAGCTGCAGCTTTTTCCTAATTGCTATTATGATGACTGAATTTTTGTTTTGTGTCAAGCATTATTCACACATTATACTCCAAAATTTGATCCCTCCATGATGCATTATTGATTCCATGCAGGCAATCATACTGCCGCCAATGTGAAGAATTAATTTGGGCTATTCTACTTGATTTGCATTGCTCCATCATAGCAGAACATAGTTCTATGGGGAAACACAAATTGAAAAGGAAGATTTAACAAAATATGGAAAACGCTGCTGTCCTTGAAAAAAGATGAGTACTAAAGAGGGGAAAAAACCAAAAAAAAAAAACCCCAAACGCAGCACGACACGTGTGGTCCAGCAAGAAATAAGGTCAGTCAGCCAAATTAATCTTCGTCAGAGAAAGGTTACAAGAGTAGCCTTATGCCTGTAATAAAGTAAACTAGCTTGCTTCAACTTATATTGCCAAAGAAAACACTGAACACCTCTGAGAGCAACACTGCTTCAAAGCCTTTGAAACCCTGTGAGCTTCATTTGTTTTCCCAGCATAAGCAATACTCAACCACTTAGCGTGTCTTTTATCCACAGTCCAGTCAACTGCAAAGCTGATCTAGAAGATGTGTAACAGATGCTTCTCGTCTACTTCTTTTTTTTTTAAAGTTCCACTGTGATAACAAAGAAACTCGTGAGATCTCAACAGAAATAAAGCCTGGGATTTATTTTATTGTTTCCCCCTGAATAAGATTTATTCCGCAGTTTTAGGATGCCAGCTTAATTAGCGCAGAATAAATTCAGAGGGGCAAGATAACTTATACACGGGCACTGACTCCACATTGGTCAATTCTTAGCCAAAATTTGATGGAATCTGCATACAAGAGGGCACTGAAAATGATGCATTTCTGCTTGGTCTTATATTTTAAAGGTGTAAAATCTTTGTTAAATGTCCATTCACATTTTTCATCATCCCAAGTGCTTCACATCAGAATGAAACCGAACCTCACATCCCATCCCAGAAGCTTCAAATTCCACACACAAGGATACACCAGATATATAACTTTAGAAATCAAACTTATAATGAGATAAAGATCTCAAAACGCTAAATGTAAAATGCTATGCAGTATTTCCCCCCCCACATCATTTTTTGGGAGGCAAGAAGGGGAGAGAGCAAAGAGAAATTTCAACAGAAGACATTTGGTAAAAGTGAGCATCCACCCATCGTTTTCGATAGTCAAGCCTTCTTTCCTGATTATTCTCCAGTACAGCATTAATTCAGTTTTAAAATACCAGAAGACAGATAGGGGTCAGGGAACAAAAATCACATCGCTCCAACTTATTAGCATTGGGCAGCTTTCAGTACTATTCACAATACACGATTAGCACCAATCTGATGCGGGAAAGCAAGTGACTTTGAATTACAAGTTATTTTTCTCATAAATATTTTAAAAAGCAATACATATATTCAAGTAAAATCAATGCTACTGCCAAAATGCTCAACTTCCCATTTCTCCAACCTCTTTGGCTGCCTGTGAAAGCTGTTTCCTGTTTCTCTTGTCTTGCAAATATTCAGTAATTTCTTCTACTTCCAAATGACAACTGCCTACGACTTACGTTTTTTTAACCTTAAAGAGATTCCTGAAAAAAAAATATATTTAAAAGATCAGAGAATCCATCAGCACACCCTTTACATGGCACACTTCATCAGTTTATAGAGATGAAATGAAACAATGAGATAACAGCTACAAATGTGCATTAAAAGTTAAGATGCAGTTCCCACTTTCAATACACAAAATGCTGCCAAGGTGGAGGTCTTCAGCAGAAGTAGCGCCATCGATGGAGGTCCACCTGGATGGCTATGGAAGTGTTCTGCTTTGCCTCAGTTTTAGCCTTTGCTTTCGGTGTACGAGCTATGAGGGAAGAACTAAGCCCCAAAGCAGCCTCAGAAAAACCTCATTAAAAAGTTGTGATTAGACTTACCCCATTCGTCCTAGAAACTACTGGTGACTGGGCAGTTAAGTTGCACACCCTGGTAGGCAACGTGCAAAAGAAGGCATCAGGTCATTCAAACTACTAACTAACACTGCCTATTACTCTTTACATCCTAGTCATTCTTGATAAGGACTAGTCAGCTTTAAAAAAACAAGCGTTATGTGAAGTCCTAAAACAAGTCAAGCTCTCCTTCGGCTTCATTCATTAAAACACCTCCCAAATGAACTTCCACTTCTACCATTTAGAGAACGGAGTAAATTCTTAGAACAAGCCAGTGGTTTTTTGACAGAGCAGCTTATTAGCTTATTGTCATTATGTTTACAGCTACGAAGAAAAGCTGCGAGAAATAGGTATTAAAGGCGCACATTAAAGAGACCCAAATGACATGCAATGGGAAGGAAAGAAAATCTTAAAATTAGATTTACAATAAAAGCTGTTAAAATGAACAGGCTAAAATGGATGTATTAGAGTAACAAGTAGAAATAAAAATCTGAATAGAGATAAAAAACCAAAATCGAGCTTTTTCTGCTATGTCCTTCAGCAAACAGAGCCTGAGGCAAACCCTTCTCGACTGGTTCAATGATGCCAGAGGAGAGATATATATAAAAAAAAAAAAAAAAAAAAAAAAAAAGAAAAAGAGCAAGCATGCTTTTACCAACACAAGAGGAAAATATCAGAAGCTGAAAGCAGAGAACACTCCGATACGCACAGCGCGCATCTGTTTCAAAACTATTTATTTCTACATTAGCAACAGACAGAAGACACCAAGCAAAGGCTTACACAATCTCAGCCCACCTACCGTCCTCCTTGTCCAGCACCATCATCTCTGCAATCAAGAAAAGTCCGGGGACAGATGCTTCTTCTCCAGCAGCCTCCGCTCAGGGGAGAAGAGAACAAGTCTCTGGGAACACAAATGAGCTACGGTACAGCTGATCGTCCTTTAGCAGCAAGTGAGCTCTAATTACCCAGTTGTCCAGCTTTTAACCTAGATTGCACTCAGTTAGAATTACACTCAGAAATAAAGCACTTTGCAGATACAAAAGCAGTCTCACCTACTTTTTGTGCCTCAGAATTGCAAGGAACTAAAACTGCAATTTAGACGGAAGGGGGATCGGTGCTGTTCCTTTGGTTCTCACCTTCTAAATGGCTCAATTTACACAGTATAATCTATTTTAACGTAATTGCGTTTGATAGCTCGTAACCCCCGGCTGTCGCAACTACGCAGCTTTCAAACCTCGTGAAGAGTTTTCCCTTCGGATTTAAGCCGGATCTCAATCTCAAATCATATCGGGAGAGGGCAGGACACCTCAGCCTTGCCTCTCGCTCTCAATGGGTGAGCTTCGCACACTCGGGAGTGAACAAATGAGCCTATTTTCCAGGGACTCCTCTCCTTTTCCTTCTCCTTCTCCTTTTCCTTCTCCCTGCCGGGATTTCCCGGCCAGCCCCAGCCTTCCCGGCTCAGCAGCGCCACCTGCAGCCCGACACCGACCCCGCCACCGACCCGCCGCACCGGCGGCTCCTTCCCGGGGAACCGGGCGGCGGGAGCGGCGGGGATGGAGCGGGGATGGAGAAGGGATGGGGAAGGGATGGGGAGGGGGGAAGGCAGCCCCGCCACGCAGCTTCACATCCCGCACCTCCCATCAAGGCTCTTCTCTTCCCGTTATTCCCGCTTGGCTCCCGTCAGCGCGGGGCAGCCCCGCCACGCAGCTTCACATCCCGCACCTCCCATCAAGGCTCTTCTCTTCCCGTTATTCCCGCTTCGCTCCCGTCAGCGCGGAGATTCCGCCCGACACCGCCCCGGTACCGCTCAGAGGATCCCAACTCCGCGGAGCCAGGCAGCTCCATTTCACACACCTAAAACTTGATGCTAATTTTCCCCTACAAATATTTTGGGTTTGTTTTCACGCGCACGGATTAGTTTCAGGGAATACTCTGGAGAACGTTCCCCTACAAATATTTTGGGTTTGTTTTCAGGCGCAAGGATTAGTTTCAGGGAATACTCCGGAGAACGTAGCTCCGTTTTCAGCGGGTCGATATTAAAATGCGTTGAACGGATCAAATGCGGGTCAAACCCTTTACGGGTTCGCTCCACCTTTCAGAGATGCCATCGATGCCCAGATGTAAAGTGACAAGTTTGGGGCCCGCATCTTTTCTCCTTCCTCTGGCAACTCGCAATCCTTATCCAGACAAGTCATCCGTCGTCTCCGACGGCGCTCCGAAGGATTGCGGCATCGGACGCTTCGCCACCAAGATCAACGGCACCATTTCACTCCTCTCCCTCTTTTAACCTGACCAAACACTTCATTCCTCCTTTAATGTCACTTCTTCCTCCCCTTTACAACTGATACAACGGGGCTCTAAAAAAGCGTGATAGCGGGCTCAAGTTAGATATCCTTAATACCGATTTTTAATTAGATTCCTTATCCCCAGCTGAAGTGGCTTTTCCTTCCCCCTTCATTCAGAATCCTTAATCCTAACAGTTCTTGAGTGTATTTGATGTTAAATGTATCATTTTACATTGAACCTTTTTCATCTAGTACTTTGAACGACTCCCGTTTCCCAGTGACACTAGTTTGCAAGTGTTGAATATGTATTTTAGCGTAAGAGTGCAACCACCATAAATAATCATTTTATTTTAGGAAGTATCACAGGCTAAATGTGAGGACTTTATCCCAAACATTAAAGTCTGATAGTTAAAAGCGTCAGCGCAAAAAGTAACAAAAACGTAGGCTTTCTAAATTTGAGGTATTTTAATACTTCTAATGTGCTATTTGCCTCCATTAGGAAACGGCGAACTCCAAAAATCCTCCGTCTTTCTGTGTGCATACTTTTCAATCCCATCACCTTCAAAAAAGACAAACTTACTCCCAAATATATGTTATATTTAAGCTTACGCTATTTGGTAATTACAAGAAAGGCAGATTTTTGATAAAAATGAAGTTAGCCGTTGTCTGTGGCAGCTGACTTCGGCGGCAAAGCAAACCAGCAGACGCACTTGTAAAAAATAAGCAGTACAGGATCAATGTACATTTTATTCCTTTACTGCTCCGGCATATCACAGAGGCTGGATTACTCCCTTTGCAAATGCGTATTTTTAAACGCTTTATCTGCTTACTCGTTTAACACACCAACAATAAAAAAAAAGTTTTCTAACCCTCAACACATTTGTACAGCAATTAAAGTCAACTACAATTAACACAATCTGTTGGAATTAATCACGGTACCTGATGTCAGTTTACTTTTTTTTAAGCGAAAATCTGGGCTTTGCAATCAAAACATTTACGCGTTTGAGAAATATCTTAACTCTCATTATCCTGAAATTTATAAATGCGCTGCACGGTGCGTAGGTTGGCTTGCCCACAGCAGACTCAGCAGTGATGTACGCAGTGAAACCGACTAAAATGCAAGTTTTTCGCTCTCAACCTTTCTCTTTTTCCCCCTCCTGTCTCTCTTCTCTCCCTTCCTAGCACTCGTTTCGGGGAGATACTTGCCAAAGTTCCACCGTAAAACGGCGTTTTCTAATATCAAGTCATGTTGCATCAGTCAAGTTCTATTATGTCACTTCAAACACACAGAATGATGTTACCTCCCTGACATAACTTGACGTGATGCCACAGCACATCAAGTCAAAAACATTACTATTGTTGTTATTTTTTCAGTCTGCCCCTTCATCCTCGGTGATACCTGTACAGACTGCAGGAAAGTAGTGTTGCATCTCTGCTACTTCTCTCTACTACATCTCTACTACTTTTGCCAAAGCAGCTTTTCCCTTGCAAAGCTGTAGAGCATCTATTAGACTTCGTGGGTGATACTGGTGTGACACTAGGGCTACCACATGCCCCTAAGGCACCGTTACGGCCCCGGCCCCGGGGACTGGAAGAGCTTGCAGATGCCTCTCAGGCCATGGCCATGGCCCAGCTTGCCAAGTAGCCTTCAGGGATGCAAAAGCAAGGGATGCAACATCTACCTACTAGGCAGCTCCTTGCAATGCTCCAGGACTACTTGGTGGGGGGGGACACACACATTTCTGAAACTCTGTCTTCTCCCTGCAGTAATAACTATGAATACCCTCACTTCTGACAGAGACCTCAAAAGTAGAAAACCCCCAAAGAACCCTATGTGGCACAGACTCTTAAAATCAAGGGAAGAATTAGATACTATACACATTGCCAGGATTTTTAGATGGTAGAAACCAAACTGGCCTTTGGAAAAAAAATAAAATAAAATAAAAGAGAGCCGTTTACGGGAGTAAAACACCCATTTTTATTAACAAGCTCGTTCAAGCTCGGTTTCAAAAGGAATTGGTTTATTTAGCAAAAGCTTCCATTTTAGTCCATTTGTAACCTGTGCAGGTCCAGCATCCCCTTTTAACATTCACAGATGAGCGGGCAAGTAGAGCCCATTCGAATCAGGCAGAGAGAAACGTACAAAGGTAAAATAAGCTCTTTGTAACAGGAGTTACTCCTCTCAATCTCACCTCCCGTCCCCAATTTCTCCAGTGCACTTTTAAAAGCGAGCATAATTCCTCCCAGAGCATAACTACTGCAGGAGATTCCCAGGCACCAGTGCAGTTTGTTGCTCTGGTCTCCACGTCCCTCTCATCAGGGGTTTGTTGCCTACTTTACTCTCTTTTAAGTGCACCCTGTACTAATTTCCTCTTATTTCCACCATTATTCCCTTTTATACGGCCGCTCCTGAGATGTCCTGGAAGGAGGCTGTTGAGAACTGTCTGGATAATCAACGCTTACTAGTTTCATTTCCTTACATCACCCTCACACCAGCTCCTCGTGTTTAATGAGTACATCTGCGACACTTGAAAGGACCCAAATACCCTTATTAGGAAACCCTCTTCAGATCTCAGCTTCTCCTCCCAGCTCACCTGTGAGGGAGGCAGGGTCCTGCTGTTAGCCCATCACCCAGACTGAAATGGATACAGGTTGGCAGGCACCCTCTGCCAGACAGTCACTGGGATTAAGACATCACCCGGTTATTGTTATTATCAAGGGGTATTAATGGAGATGTTAAAAGCCTTTTTTCCTCCAACAGTTGAGCAAAATTCTGGGGACTCTCCCAAGAGCGAGGGCAGAGAGAAACACAAACCGTGTTCCACATCCTCACACCAGTAAGAATTTACCCTCGTTTCATTCCTCTGTCATTACTTAACCCTTTTACCTTTGGGCACAGGGGGTGCAGGACGAGAAAAGTCTTTCTACTGCTATCTTTCACCGACCAGTTAGATAAATTCATCCCCTCTTCTCCGACGCATTGACTGGAGCGTGACAGACCCCGTTAATAACACCACACCGGTTTCCTTCAGAGGGCTTCAAGACAGGGGAGGAAGAAAAGACTCTGGGAGAGGGATTTTGGGCCCAGAGGGGTGTGAGGAGTGTGCAGCGAGCTCCCTCCCCACGCACCCCTCTGGGGCAGCGAGTGTTTAACCTTCTAGTTGTGGGGGTTTCGGCCCCCTTCCACCCAGCTGGATCGCACGAGCGAGCCCGGGGTTTCTCTTCGTGCCCCATCTCACTCTGCGGTGTTGTGGAAGGGTGGGCTCGCACCTTTCTGGAGCAGAAACTCCAGATCAAGAGAAAAGGAGAGGTGGGGGGAAAGGAAAAGGGGTAGAGAAATGGAGGGGGAAGGAAAAGGGGTAGAGAAACGGCGGGGGGGGGGAGGAAAAGGGGTAGAGAAAGAGGGAAGAAAACAGCAAAGCATCTCCCTCTTGCCTCTTTAGCCTGGTATCCACTTTTCCGAGTTAGACCCCCCCTCCAGCCCGCCAGAGAGACGCGTTATGGCAATTCACGCAATCGCCCTGACTGCAATGGGAGCGCGGGGCGGCTTTTGGGCACCCGCAGCCGCCGGTGCCACCGAAGTTGCCCCCGGTGGGAGCACACGGTAAGGCCACCGGACCCCCGGAGGACAGGGCTGCGGGCTCCAGGCGCCTCCCCGCTCCCCGCAGCGCCCGCCGGGGCCGGGACAACCCGCCGCCGGTGTCCTCGGCGCGGTCACCGCCACAGCGCGCCACACCGGGAGGGACCGCGCAGCGCCCGGCCTTCAAACGGAGGCGACAGCCCGGCTCCGGGGGCGGTGAGGAGGGGGGGCACCGTCCCGGGATCGCTCCGGGAGCCCTTTGTGAGGAGGGAGGCGGGCGGTGGTGGGGGGGGGCTCCGCTTCCCGCGGCGCGGTGCGGGACAGGCCGGGCAGCAGCGCCCTGACGCGGCGCAGCGAGCGGCGGCCCGGAGCGGGGCAGCTCCCTCCCTTCCCTTCCCTTCCCTCCCGGTGTCCGTCCCTCCGTCCCTCCTCACCCGCGGAGTTGTCGGCGGGGTCTCCGCGTCCCCCCTTCCTCCCACCTACCGTCCTCCTTGTCCAGCACCATTGTCCCGGGCGCCGAGGGCGGCCGCCGCCGCCGCCGCTCCGGCTCCTTGAGGCGCTCCCCCTTCCAGCCGCCGCCGAGCGGCTCCGGGGGAGGTGAGGTGAGGCGAGGCGATGAGGCGCGGAGAGGCGCGGAGAGAGGCGGCGGGGAGGGGAGGACGGGGCGCAGGGGCCGCCCCCCGGTGCTGCCCCGGGACGCGAGTTTGGAGCTACCTCAGGGCCGGAGAGGGGCTGATGCACCGGCCGCCTCGGCCCCGGCCCCGCCGCTCGGGTGCCAGTTTAGGTGTTAAAAATAATAAAAAAAGAAGGAGGTGGCGGGGAGGAGGGGGGAAAAAAAAAAAGGTGAGGGAGGGAGAATTTGGGGCGCTGGTTCCCCAGTCCCTTCCTCCCAACCTGCGCTGTCAAAAAAATCGTCCTAATGTAATCTCTCGCAGCCTCTCCCCCCCCGGCTTTGCTGTTGCTACTGCTAAAGCTTTCCGGGCTTCTAAAGTGCTTTTCTCTTGATTTCACTCTAAATCTAAAATTATATTCAAAGGAAAAGAGGGGGGGGGGTGGTGGGAGGGAAGGAAAGATGTGAACCTATCACCGAAAGCAAAAGCACTTGCCGCCTGCCTCTCTCGCTCGCTCCCTCTCTCTCAATTTATGTGCTTTGCACTCTCTCCTGCTGCTGAATAAATGCACACATTTCCCAGGGACCCTCAGATTCCCCTGTTAATTAAATCAATTCATTATGCTCAGATCTGATTAGCAGCCCCTTCCCCCCCTCTTTGAATCAATTATTCAATACACAAACATAATTGCCTGTGCCAGAGGTGTCTAAGTATTAGCTTATTTAACTCCAAGGACACTAATTACCCCTAGGGCAAGGGAACTTTTCTCATTAATTCTGACAAAACACAAAAGCACAGTTAAAGTGTGTGTGTATATACGTGTGTGAGAGAGAAAATGGGGGAGCGTATAGCTGAGGAAGGGAAGCATTACTCTAACGCACGTGTTACTGTATAAATAAGCTCAATTTTCTTTCTACCTTTGCATTAGATTATTCTTCACATTTCCCTTTCGCTAAACTTGCCTCGGCCGCCTCCCCTTTTTTTTTAAAGCGAGGAACAGATTGTGGCATTGCAATGGTGGCAGTTCTGGAGTGAAAACCCTTGCAACCAAACCCAAAAAAGTAAAAAGTATATAGGACTGATGGGGAGCAAAGCAGAATTTGCAAACAGCTTTGTTTACCAAAGCAGGAAACTCTGTGGCAGACAGTCTTCTGTACTTTAAAAACCTGCGGAAGAAGCCGCCCTGTGAAGCAGCAGGTAAGATGATACATAACCTGGTATGTCCTGGGAACAGCTCTGGATTGTTTACCATTTGAATTAATGTCAGTGCCCACTATTAATGTACTTGCTTCCTACATTTACCATAATGGGCTTGATTTCCATTAGCTGAAGGTGGAAGGCTGAAAAGAGCCAAGGCGAGACTGATGCAAACCGAGATCGACCATCACTGTAGCACCCGAGATGCCTGACTTCTGCCTTGCACATCACCCAAATTTTACCTCTGTGTGAACCTCCTTTAAATAAAAAAAGTGGACGAAAAAAAAAAAGAAGTAGTAATTGATTCCCACAAATTAGGTTTTTACTTTCTAAAGACCTGTATTGTTCACGTCCTCAATGTGCACAGAAGTATTGAAGATTTTCTTTTTGTTTCCTTAGGCAATGCATGAGCTGATCCATTAATCCATTTGGCTTTATATATCAGGAAACTAATATTAGCTCAGCTCATCTATTAGCCTTTATTTAGGTCCCCCCATGTTGCTTTTTTTTTTTTTTGGACTTTTGTTCAGGCTGGTTCCCCTAGAGGGGAGACAATTTCTGATAGATTTCAGGGGATAAAATGCTGCACATCACCTCATGGAAATCATCCCCTCCCCGGTTCCCCATCCTCACACTCACCCATGTCAAGACAGCCATGATTCAACTTGTTTGGCAACTCTGCCCACGTTAAAGCACACCTTGTACACATCACCAAAAGCCAAGAGGGAGAAATCCCCCACAAACACCTCCTCTCCTCCTCTCCCAAAAAAAAAATCACCTCGTAGCCAAGCTTGAGCTTGCCTGGCAACAAAACTCACTGAGATATGTTCATTCTTTGCAAGCATAAATATGACCGGGAAGACAAAGTTGTGTTTCATTAGTGCAGTATTTTTTCTGTGGGTACACATATATAAGGATAAAAATGCCTTCAGCTTTGTAACACAACAGACCCTGTTAATTCTCTGGTCTTTAATTTCCACTGTATGGCACATAGTGCACCCACAGGAACTTGGTCCATCTAACTCAATGAATTTTATTTTTTTTTCTGAAAGAACACAGCAGCACTTGAAAAACACCAACCCCAGAGAACATCATGTATTGACTCATTTCTAAGTGTACTTTTGGTCCTTGAACCCGTTCCTTTTATCCCTGTGGCCAAGGAGACTTTTGGGTGCAAAGCGAGAATCTCAGGATCTTAGTATGCAACTCTTTAGCCTTAATTCCAAATTTGCTACAGGGGTGATGCAGTTTTATCTAAACACACACTTACTGAGTAGCAGGCATCTGGCTGCAGGCACTGAAGCTCAAGGTCACTGTTGGGATGCCAAAGGCAGAACAGGAAGAAACTGAGGAAACAGATGTTGACTTCGGTACCGTTCTTAAGAAGTGGTGTTCACACTTGAGTTGAGAGAGATGTGGCCACTGGAGATGAGGAAGAAAGAGGTGGAAGGGAGAAAGAAAGAGACAAATTTACACGTGTGCATGCACATGGGGGAGCGTCACACAAGGAGGGGAAAATAATGCAAAAAAGTACAAACCCCAAAACATTCCATTCCCAAACACACCTCCTGTGGTTTGAACAGTCTGCTTTAATCCTACAGTTATCATTATGGGGATTTTGGGGTTTACAGCTTTAATAAGATGAAGGGATGAACCCCAGTGTAAAGGTCCCCACTTTAGGTAAACGACTTTTTTACAGCGTGGCGAAGCATTGTTCTGCATGGTTTCCAATTATACCTGTTCAGTGAGCGAGTTTCAGTAATTTTTGAGCCTCCTTCACCCAGTAGACTGGAAATCTCATACAAAGAATTTTACCACCCTTATTTTTTAGTACCTTGGCACTAGAGCTAGATCACTGCTAGATCACCCCTTCCAAAAGCGCTTACGTAGGTTAACGGGCGCCATAACAAGTGACTGGGAAAACTTGACACGGATCAGTGGCAGAATTGGGAATAAGCCTTGGTTCCCTGATGCTCCATTCTCTGGAATGAGGCCCTAAAGCAGCTTGCTGCCAGAGGAGGACCAGAAAACACCGTTGCTGAGGTGCCAGTTTATCATTAACGTGCACCGTTATTCATTACGGACGCCCTGTCCAGGCAGGACTGAGAAGTTGTCATGCTCAATACTGCAGAAACTACAGGAAAAAGAGTATAGCTGTGCTCTGCCCGTGAAAGCTTCTGGTCTAACACTAATTCCTGATATTCCTGGTACGGGAGGGAAGAGCCACACAGGAATACAAACACCTCTGTGCTGCAGTAAGGGCTACGGCTCAGGCCTCTGGGCCTAACCTGAGGTCCTTACTTTTCCTTTTGCTGCTCTTACTACTTTTGAACACAAGCAAGAGCAAATGAAGTTTCTTAAGAACATTCTGCTGTTCTTATTAAATTGCAAAGGAAGTCTGCAATATACTTAAGTCAAGCCTTTAGCAGACCCGTGAGGTTTCATATTATCCTATGCTTGAATGAGGCAGATGACTGGAGCAAAAACCAGCTAATGACATAAAAGCATTCTTCTACTTTCAGCCTCTCTTAATTAAGGAGTTGGTTAATGTTTCAGTGTTGGGAATTATAAAGCTTCATCGGGGAGGTTAATATGTTTTTTATTTTATCTTTCAGCTGACAGGATGAAAAAAAAAAAAAATCAAAACAGCAAAAGAAAAGAGAGGTGATTAGGTCATGTGCCAGTCAATCCCACAGTGAAGCCGGTATCAGGCCATTCCAAAGCCCACTGCTGCACGTGGTGAATTTAGCAGCTATTTCCAAACTCAGATTTCTGAGCAGATGAGACTTTTGTCTACCAGTTTAGACACACGGGCTTTATCTCTTGAATTCACACAAATAACCAACACAATTTGCACACCTCTATACCAGATTAGCTACAAAAGATGGCTATGTTATTACCCGTTTCAGAATCACTTGCACCTACCTTGCCAGTGTCAGAACAGAGTGACCATGGGCCTGACCTTGTACCACAGTTCAGCAGTCCTGCAAAGGAGAAAAATCACAAGTGCTCTAAAAAGTTATGTTCGCACAGAACATGGGCTGCAGTTCAAAAGACCACTTAAATACATACCTGAGATCTACAGACCTCAATTATATCTAAACTCCTGCTTGATCTATTTAACTTTGCTGCCTATACATTGTAAAAATAAATCACTTGATTCTGTTACCATGTTTTGCGTGAAATGAATGTTAAATATTTTCATAAATATAGGCCGTTCTTTAAAAAAGAAAAGAGTGTTAAAAATAAAGCATTTCCTTTGATAGAAGAAAACTGGCAAAGTTTCAAAAATACTACCTCTAGAGAATGAGTTCTTTACCACTGTGATACAAGGCTAGCACTTTAAGCCATTAGGCTTTACAATCTGTAATGACATTTAGAGAAATTTACAGCTGATAAATTAGTTATTCTGAAGTTTTGCTCCTCCTCTCCATAGCACAAAGTTAAAAAGAAAAATATTTTTTTCAAAAATAAACGTCGAAAGACCTAAATTCTTAGTCTGCTTCTTGTTTGATAAGAAGTTTAACAGGCAGACTCTGCCTCCCCACAACAGCTCAGCTGCAATGAACTCCATGAAGTTTCTTTCTACATGAGAAAGCAGCATCAGAAAGGGTTTGTGAATGGATCTAAACTGCTGGAGGACCAGGTTGGGTTTGACACTTTGCACATCAGCCAGCGGCTCCACAGCACCAGTGCATCTGGGGAGAAGAGCAAGTATAAAGCAGAGGAATTTATGACCCAAGTGAATGGCTTTAAAGGAGGCCCAGAGTAGGAGATGGGACACACTGGCTTCCCCTGGGCTCCAGGGAAAGCATACTTAGAGGAGATCCATCTTTTCCAGGAGAAGCTTCATTTCTCTACTTCTGAAACCTTCCCAGGCTCAAGTGAGACATGTTCTTCCACTTGTGTGGTGAGTCACTTCTCAATGGGGATATAAAATTTCAATTCATGCTGAAGTTGAGCAAAAGTTCAGGAATGCACCTTTAGCCCAACCTCTCTGAGCAAGTCAACACATGGATTCTGACTCTGCTACCTATTTACACAGCAGTATCAGTTCTGAATTTCCAGATTCCTTTAGAGTAAGTGGAAAAGAAGCCTTTAAAAAAAAAACCCAAACCAACTGAAAAACCCACCAACGCCCCTCTCCTCCCTCCTCCCAAACATTATGTGCAAATTCTGGTAATGGTGTTTCTACAATGTCTCTTACTTTAATTTAGATCAATAATCAACTTTTCTGTGTATCCTTCTCTACTTCAAAGTTCATTGCTGCTGCAGTGTTCTCTTGCAGATACTCCTGCCTTTTATTCCTTACCTTGGTGGGTGCAGTAGGTAGACCTGAAAGAGAAATCTGGCATCCACATACATATGCCTCAGTTGTTTAAGGAGGAATCCAGTGAGACAGTGTCTGGTTCTGGAGTGACACATGGAGCTCTCGGGCTTGTTGCCACATCCACTCTTCTGATCAGAGCTTATTGCTCCCAGCCTGATGTCAAACAGAGACTAATCAAATGTGAGATGGGTGAACAGAGGCAGAGCCACCGAGCTGGCTCTTCGTAACCTGTTACTATCAGTTCTTCTTTATACCGCAGCAACACACAGGGGTCCCTGTGATGGAACCAGACCATAATATATTGTCCAAAAATCCCAGTGCCTTTCTTCAAAAAGATTTTTTTCTTCACTGTCTTGCTGCTGAAGAGCCAAGGTGGAATTTACATGGAATAGTCAGAGTTGGAAATACATTAACTGAAAAGATAAAATGCAATGTCAGGCCCACGTTGCTTTGTGATGACAATATGCTAAGACTCTGCCAGTGTTCCCCGTGTTTTGTGGCTCCCTCTGACTCTACTTGGCATGGGTGACATTTGCCAGGTCTTCATAGCATCATGCTAACAACATATCATCTGAAAATATTGACTCTGTAAGAAAATGGCTGCTGGCTCAATAGCAGTAGGTGCACACAAAGGCTATGTCATGGCTGCTGAACACACAACAGAGGAATTCCAGCTATTCCTGTGTCACAAGCTGGTGAGGGTCTGTTGCACTGGACTATGTTTTGCACATGATTTCATCAGCATCCAGTTCAGTCTGAATCTAATGGTGATTATCTTCTTGATCCATTAACATGTGAGAAAAAAACCCACATTCACAAACCAAAGAGATGAGTATTTTACTTTTTTTTTTTTTTTCAAATAAACCTGTCCTATGAAATTA